GGGGCATTCTGTCAGCAGTTTTACTTGAGCAAAGCCCCCATGCCAAGAAAGCACAAGACAAGCCTTTCACTGGGACTTGGCTTGATCTAAACTGCCTGTTTAGCCCCTGCAACTGTCAAACAAATAAGTGACAAGCCATAAAAATCCTAACCCCTCAGCACGATCATGAACAAGGTTAGTGGCTTTCCTGCTTTCAATGCATCTACGAAAAGGAGGACATTGGCTTTAGCCTGCACTTGGCCATTTCAAAAGCCAGGGCAACTAGAGGTAAAACCTTTATGCCCATGCTCCTTTTCCCAGCAAGCAAAACATTCAGGTTCAGTGCACTTTTCCGTCATCCTTTCTAGGTCAGGGAGGGAGGGAGAGAGACAGGCAGCATCCTTAGTTAGGAGCGATTATTTTGCATTGTCTTTCCATTCAGCTACAGGCACCAGCCACCTCCTCCTGAGGTGGATTTACAGAAACACTTGGGGTTTATTTCAGATTGAAATTAAATCCTTTTCTTTTTCTTTTTTTTAAGATCGGGTTTGGTTTTGTTTGAAGCCAGCCCTTCACTGTGAGTGCCTCTGCTCTTGCTGAAGCACAGTCCAGTCTGACCTGTTTGAATTCACTGGGAAGACGGAAGACAAATCACCCTGTCTTCAGAAAGCACGTCTGCATCTTGCCATGTGCGTGTGCCCCAGTGTTTTGTTTTGTTTTTCTTAATATATTTCATGTTCCCGGTCAAATCAACCACGTCAGTTCCAAATCACATTGACTGAACAGAACTCAGTGGTTTCAAAAACCATACGGATTAAGCAGGCAGAACTCAAATCATTCTAAACACCGTGTATGGTGCTACAACAGACAAGCATCCTTCGTCCCAGCCTCTCACCCTGGGACTTCAGATACTCCCAAATCCATTGGCAGGCATCCTATGTGCAGGCCCAAGCCCAGAAGTGTTGGCATTCAGATGCCCCCACTTGATCTTAGCCCACAAGAGGCTGGATGTGACTTGGCTAAGGGAAGGGGGAGGTGGCAGGGGTAGGATATACAGTGCAACAGGCTTTTTGTTCATCCTTGCCATAAAGGCAGGAGTTGCAGACCCAGCGTATGGGCGAGGAGGGTAGAAAGGGGAAGGCAGGTAGCACGAGGTCCACAGCTAGCTTTGTTGGATCTAGCAGCTCAGGTCAGACCTCATCTTGAGGTCTCACCTTACTGGAGTGGTCCTCCTGCGCTCTCACCCCCTCAGTCCCTCTCAGAGCCCCATCACATAGCCATGTGCCCCACCTATAGCTAGCCCTACCATTGCCCACCCACTTCTTCTGGGGTGGGGGGTCATAGAAGAGCCTTCCTTGGGGGTGGGAGGGTCGGAAGAAATGCTCTAAACTCTTGGTCATCTCCCTTCAAGGAGGACAAGAAGGGGGAGGGGGGAAGGGATTCATTCCAAGTTTTCAAACAGATCCTAAGAGCAAAGCGACCAAGAGATGGGCTCCGCAGAGCCTCATGCATCTCAGCATGTCCCGCTCCTGGGGCGAGCCCACGGGAGGCGCAGGGAGCCCCGGGCTCTGCTCCTGCCCAGGGCGGCCGGCACCAGCAGTGGGGCCTCCCTGGGGCTTGCATGAGTCACTGGCTGCCACTGAGCCCTGCCCGGCCGCAAAGCCAGAGCCTGCAGGACTGCGGGGGCAGCATCCAGCTCTGCCGGGCAGGGCCACACACACACACACGCACACGCACACGTGAAGCTACATCTACATAAAGAGGTGTACACACACATACTCATACATGTCCTACACACACACGGGAAGCTACACCTACATGAAGCAGCATATGCATCACACACATACACATGCACACACATGTGAAGCTGCATCTACATGAGGAGTTGTACACATGCAGACGTATACACACATGGGAAGCTACACCTACATGAAGCCATGTACACCACACACACACACACGCACGGGAAGCTACAGCTATATGAAGAGGTGTATACACACACACGTGAGGCTCCACACACACACACACACCCAAAGCTACAGCTACATAAAGAGATGTACACACACATCACACATACACGCACATTACAAACACATCACACACACACACACACACGTGCGCACACATGAAGCTACCCCGACATGAAGGGGCGCAGCTCTGGAAGGACCGAGGCACCATGGGGAGACACATTTAGGTTCGCTATTAGGAAAAAACTTTCTGAGGAGGTGGCAGGGAGCCCTGCAGCAGGCTGCCTCTGGGCGCGGTGGCTCTCTGTGCTCAGGGGCTTTGAAGCCCCAGCTCCACAAAGCCCGGCGGGGATGCTGTAGCTGGGGACGGTCCTGCTGTGAGCAGGGGGTGGGGCTCCATGCCCCGCTGAGCTCCCTTCCACCTCCTGTCCTGGGGTCCCTACACAGACACCGCAGAACCACTGCACACATCACATCACACACACACCACATGCACACATCAAACATCACATACATCATACATACATACACATCATACATACACCACAAAAACACACACATAACACACACACACGACACATAAACACACACATCACAATACACACGACACATAAACACACACATCACAAATACACATACACAACACAACACACCACACACATACACACACCACAAATACATACACATCACACGCATCACACCACACACACGACACATCACACCACACACGCGAGTGAGGAGACGCGCACAGGCGCGCGGGCGCTGCGGGTCCCGCGCGCTCCGTGGTGCCGGGGGCGGCGGCCGGCCCGCGCCGTACCTGGAAGTGCTTGAAGAAGGCGGAGATGCGGGTGATCTGCAGGCTGAGGCACCTGGCCGTGCATCTGGCGGCAGAGAAAGCCTCGTCCTGCTTGCGCGCCGCGGCGGCC